TAACATTTCTAAGTTTCTTTAGAAACTTTAGATATCATTTAAGTAATTTTTGTGACATAATAACATTTAGCTAACATTTAGATACTTTAGAAAAAAATTAAGGTAACATTTAACTAACATTTAATTACTGCAGGTAACAATTAGCTATCTTAGGTAAAATTTAGTTAACATTTAGTTACTTTAGGTAACATTTAGTTAATATTTAGTTACTTTAGGGGACATTTAGTTAATATTTAGTTACTTTAGGGGACATTTAGTAAACATTTTGGTACTTTAGGTACCATTTAGTTAATATTTAGTTACATTAGGTAATATTTAGCTAACACTTGGTAACTTAGGTAACATTTTGTTAACATTTAGTTACTTTAGGTAACATTTAGTTAATATTTAGTTAATATTTAGTTACTTTAGGGGACATTTAGTTAACATTTTGCTACTTTAGGTAATATTTAGTTACTTTAGGTAACATTTAGCTAACACTTGGTAACTTAGGTAACATTTTGTTAACATTTAGTTACTTTAGGTAACATGTAGCTGACATTTAGTTACTTTAGGTTACATTTAGTTACTACAGGTAACATTTAGTTAATATTTAGTTACTTTATGTAACATTTAGTTAACATTTTGCTACTTTAGGTAACATTTGGACAATGTTTAGTTATTTTAGGTAACATTTAGCTAATACTTGGTAACTTAGGTAACATTTAGTTAATATTTAGTTACTTTAAGTAACAGGTAGTTGACATTTAGTTACTTTAGGTTATATTTAGTTAACATTTTGCTACTACAGGTAACATTTAGTTAATATTTAGTTACTTTAGGGGACATTTAGTTAACATTTTGCTACTTTAGGTACCATTTAGTTAATATTTAGTTACTTTAGGTAATATTTAGCTAATATTTAGTTCCTTTAGGGGACATTTAGTTAACATTTTGCTACTTTAGGTAATATTTAGTTACTTTAGGTAACATTTAGCTAACACTTGGTAACTTAGGTAACATTTTGTTAACATTTAGTTACTTTAGGTAACATGTAGCTGACATTTAGTTACTTTAGGTTACATTTAGTTACTACAGGTAACATTTAGTTAATATTTAGTTACTTAATGTAACATTTAGTTAACATTTAGCTATTTATGTAACATTTAGTTTACATTTAGCTACTTTAGGGGATATTTAACCAATTTTTAAGTTACTTTAGGTAACATTGGGCTAATTTAGGTAACTTTTAGTTAATGTTTATCTGTTCTAAGTAACATTTAGATAACATTTAGCTATTTTAGGTAACATTTAGATACTTTAGCTAACATTTATCTATCTTAGGTAACATTTAGCTACTTTAGGTAACATTTAGCTAACATTTAGCTATTTGTGTAACATGTGAATTACATTTATATAATTTGGCTAACATTTATCTATCGCAGGTATTATTTAGTTAACATTTAGATACTTGAGGTAACATTTAGATAACATTTAGCTATTTGTGTAACATGTGAATTACATTTATATAATTTGGCTAACATTTATCTATCGCAGGTATTATTTAGTTAACATTTAGATACTTGAGGTAACATTTAGATAACATTTAGCTATTTTAGGTAAGATTTAGATACTTTTTTGACATTTAGCTATCTTTAGTAACATTTAAGTTACAATTGGGGTATATAGAGCTATTTTTGCTAAAATTTCGTTAACATTTAACTATTTTAGGTATTTTTTAGCTACTTTGGGTAACCAAATTTTGGTTGTGTTAACATAATTTGTCTAAAACAAAATACCAAACTCATTTCTCTTCTGAATAGAAAAAAATTGCGCTCACTTAAGTAAGAAATTACGCGTTTATAATTAGATTTCTCTATTTTAATTAAGACTATTTCTTACATTAATTTGAATAAAGCTACAGATGCTGGCATCCGGATTTATATACTATTTACACACCGCGGTCGTTCTTGATTCCAGAGGGGATTAAAGGTCCGTTGAAACATGGCTTAGTGGGAATTATCACAAATGTCTATCGAATGGGACACATACCGGATTTGTCCATGCGAAACGTTGTAATCGCAACGATATGCACCGCGTAATCGTCGCCACGCTACCTATTTTCTCGGTGGGACACACAACATATATATATATATATATATATATATAGAGTATATAAGTATATATTCTACTATAAGGCAGTTATAACGATACAAAAGATGCCAGAGAGAAAGATCTTTGCGGCCATAGGGAGAGCGCGAGAGACCTGCCTTTTGAAACCGGTTCGAATTCTCGATTCTTCTTGTAATCAGGAATCGCTTGGCTTGTCAAGTGTCGCCTATCGAAGCGACACGTGTACTTATAACTGGGAAAATTAATTCATTGCCATATAGTGGAATCATTGGGTCACTGACACGTGGGGAAAATAAATTATGTCTACCAGAAATTGACAAGAGGACTATATATACTGTCGCATTACTGGCGCAGTACTGGTACCAAATAACGCGCCAGTACTGTGCCAATACTGCGCCTGTACTGTACCATAATTACGCCAGTACTGATATTAAAATTTTTATTAAAATTAGTGTCAATTTTCTGTCAATACAGGAACTAGAAAAGATAATTTACATATTACAAGCATTCATGCAAAAATACAAAAAAGAAACACTGCTTTGTGCAAACATTCTACTAAAACTTGCATCATACATTTAATTTTGATCAGAATAGTATACAGAAATAGAGGTTGTAAATTTTTATAGAAACAAAAATATTTATTTTGGTAAAAAACTAACATCGAATTCGTAATCAGCGACTCCAAAAAGCCCCCCAAAGTAACAAGATTCAAGCAAATTTGATCAGTTTCAAAAAAAATTGTCCGCCATATTGGATCCGCCATTTTGAATTTTGCAATTCTGTCCTTTAAATTCGTAATCGCATCAACACGGAAAATTTGAAATACGGTTTACGTATTATCAAATAAATATTTACTTGTATCAAATAATTATATTATTTAAGTCAATTAATCAGTATTTGTTTCAAATACAGAAATTATTGGTTCAAATACAGTTTATTTAATTCAAATAAAAATTAAATGATTCAAATAAATATTTATTTAATTTAAATAAATATTTATTTGATAATATAGTAAAGTAACCGATTATTATTTTAATCAAATAAATTTTTTTTTTCAGTGTAATCTTACATGTATTATTAAGGTAATATTGCATAGTAATATTAAAGTAATATTACATGTTATATTGAGGTAATATCATTTTGGATTGTTGGTTAATGCTTTCGACTTGTGTGCAAAATGTTCAGAGTTCGATTCCCACTAGCGAGATTTTTTCTTTAAACAAAAAGTCTTTGTATTACATTGTAATATTATCTCAATATTATATATGTAATATTACATGTAATATTATGGTAGTATTAAGGTAATAATACCTGTATATTACATTTAGTATTATGGTAATATAAAGATAATATTACCTCAACGTTACATATGTAATATTGCTGTGTTATTACGGTGACATTACATGTAATATTACTGTGATATTAAGGTAACATGACGTGTGATGTTACATGTAATATTACTGTGATATTAAGGGGACATTACATGTAATACTAGTACTGTAAATTTAAAGTGACATTACGTTTAATATTTCGTGTAATATTACAGTAATATTAAAATGTTCGCCTCGTGGTAATATTACGTGCTACTTGAGCTGTCATATTAAACAGACATTACATGTAATATTACTGTGATATTAAGGCGATATTACATGTAATATTACGTCTAATATTACATATAATATTACTGTGATATTAAGAGGACATTGCGTGTAATATTACATGTAATATTATTTTGATATTAAGGCGATATTACGTGTAATATTACATGTAATATTATTTTGATATTAAGGCGATATTACTTTGATATTAAAGTGACATTACGCTTAATATTACTGTAATATTAAGTAAATATTACGCGTAATATTACCGTGTACGATAATATTAAGGTAACATGACGTGTGATATTATATGTAATATTACTGTGATATTAAGGGGATATTACATGTAATACTAGTACTGTAAATTTAAAGTAACATTACGTTTAATAATTCGTGTAATATTACAGTAATATTAAAATGTCCGCCTCGTGGTAATATTACGTGCTACTTGTGCTGTCATATTAAGGTGACATAACATGTAATATTACTATGATATTAAGGCGATATTACATGTAATATTACGTCTAATATTACTTATAATATTACTCTGATATTAAGGGGACATTACGTGTAATATTACATGTAATATTACTTTGATATTAAGGCAATATTACTTTTATATTAAAGTGACATTACGCGTAATATAGTAATATTAAGTCAATTTACCACGTAATATTACCGTGTACGATAATATTACGCGTAATGTTAAAAAAAGATTTACCTGTAACAACGAAACGTTTTACTATAGTAGGAAAAATTTTATATTTGTCTCAATGAAATATTTCGCTATTCCAGGTAAACTTTTCGCTATTTTGGGTAAATATTTTTTTCCCTATGATATTATGGTAATATTACGTTTTCCCAGTGTATTTGAACCATAACCATATCTATCGCTATTAAAATTACGGAACCTGCAATATATTGAAACGCAAATGAATTGTCATTCAGATCGTTTTGCTTCCGTGTAGCGAAATTAGTTAATATTATAGTGTGAAGCAATTGCTCTGTTTCAATTGTATTTCCGAGTTTATATACATATGAAAGAGACGCAGGCGCTTGTATATATATATATAATACCGACACCCACTCTTGATGGCGTCGGCCAACCACCGACGAATATAACCCGATGCTTTTACGTATTAGCTATCGCATGTATATACGATGTTGTGTGTATATATATATATATATATATATAACTGCGCTTATGCCGCGCAGGTCCCTTTCCTCCTGGCCAAGTAACAAAGGAACATGGCGTCACTAACTTGGTACCGTTCCCATTTTCTGTTGCAGGTTAACCCATGCCAGAGGAGATGGAAGACGATGGACAATGTCCAGCCGGATTCTGTATATATGCGTACGCAAAATAAATAAAAAAAAAAAAAAAAAAAAAAACATGTTTACGCGCACCACGAGGTCCTCTCTGCTCTCTGGGATTTATAAGCAGTGTGTGTGTATGTATATGTAGAAAAAGGAGAATAAAAAAAAAAAAAAAAAAAAAAAAAAAAACAATTCTCTGAAAGCTGCGGAAGAGATAGGAGGAATAAATGGGTGCGAGCCAAAAAGGGATAGAAATCAAAGAGAAAGGGAAGAAGAGAAAAGAAGGAAAGAAAAAAATGAAAGAAATGAAAAAGGAAAAAAAAATTGTATAAAAAAACAACGGAAAAATCAATGTTAGAAAGAGATGTCCTGGTGTAAAGGGCTTGTTTTCTATAATCACAATTTCCCAACTAATATTTCCTTTTTTTTTAAATTAATGGGCAATGTGCAAAAGCACCGTTAAAGGGTATAATTGTTATTTATCCAAGAGGTTTTTTTTTTAACAGTCTTTTAATTTTATCTTCCATTGTATAATATTTTAAAAAGCGTACATTCACTTGAACAAAAATTTTTGAAAAAAAAAAATCTCGTATACACAAATGCACACACACACACACACTTCTAAAAAAATAGTTATTAATGAAAAACACATTCACATATAGTTAATACAGTTATCTTTAAATATCCATTATAATTGATTAATTATTATCACAATGAGATATTAACATAATAAATAATTTAGATAGGATAGAATCCTTAAAAGTAGATCCGCGTTATAAAAAAAAAAAAAAAATGATGATGATGAAAAATGTCTGGAGAGTGTACGCTAAATGTATAATATTATAAATATTAAAAATAAAATAAAATAAAAGCGATTAGTTGTACACATTAGATCACGATTGAAGTTATATAAATAAAATAAATAATAATAATATTATAATATAATAATAAATATAAATAAATAAACCCCCCATTATTTTTCAACTTTAATTATTAATTTTTTAATGGCTTGCAATGTATTAAAATTATTAAAATTTTATTTAAATTTTGAGGTTATGTTTGTTTCTTGATTAAAGGAATTTTAAGTTATGTTTGTCGGACATAGCCTCAAACCCAAGAGTCCCATCATCTACATGTTTGAATTTTGAGGTTATGTTTGATCTCTGACCTTGAATTTTGAGGTTATGTTCGTTTCTTGATTAAAGGAATTTAAAGTTATGTTTGTCTGAAATAGCCTCAAACCCAAGCGACCTATATCCATGAATTTTAAAGGTTATATTTCATCTATGACCTTAAATTTTGAGGTTATGTTTGAACTAAAACTTTGTATCCTGGAAGCCTATGTCCTAGAAAATTTGAAGTTATGTTCCATCTATGACCTTGAATGCTAGTGACCTAGGACCTTGAATTTTGAGGTTATGTTCGTTTTATTACTTGGGTTAATCACTCTTGACATGAAATTTTGAGGTTATGTTCGCTTAAACCTATGTTTAAACATGTGATCTTGATTTTAAAGGTTATGTTTGCTTTAACCTACATTTTTGACATAAGACCTTGATTTTTGAGGTTATGTTCGTTTTTGACATGGTTTAGTACAATCCTGATCAAAATTTCTCAATCAACGTTGGCAGCGAAATCTTTTTACAATACAGAGTGATATATTTATAATTATATTATAATATTATATTATTTATAATAATTTATAAATCTATAAATAATAAAAGTAGAAGGGTATGAGACAATTTGCAATTTGTATATCAATGCCACTGCGGCATCGAAATCATTTATCTTCACATTTATGTATATATGTGTGTGTGTATGTGTGTGATAACAAAGGGATAACTTTCCTCCCTTTTAGGAATTTTGTTATATTTGGCTCGCACAAACAATAAAACACGAAAATTCGTTTATTTTTGTTTCTAGATTATTTTTATTAAATTTGTTTACTATTAAAATTATTAAAAAAAATTTATTGTTTAATTAAAAACATTAATTTATGTATTAATAATAAAATCAAATTGTACTGGATCCTTCCTTTCTTTTAAAAAAAAAGTCGATTTACACTGAAAAAAAAAAATTATACCTGCAATAGCGAAACTTTTCACTATAGTAGGAAATGTTTTTTATACTTGTCTCAGTTAAATCTTTCGCTATTCTAGTGAAACTTTTCCCTATTTCAGGTAAATATATTTTTTTTCCTGTAGAAAATTTTTTTTCGGTTCCCAATAGATTTTGATAAATAATAATTTTAATTTACATAATTATTTTTTTAATTAAAAAAAAATCTTTGTTACAAGTGCAAATTTTGAAATAACGAATTTTCGTGAATTTTTCGACATGAATAGAGAAAAAATTGTAATTCACAATTATTGTGATTACAAAAAAAAAATTAAGCTTAATAAAAAAAAACCAAAAGTCATAATGTGCCCAGTGCTCAATATTGTTAAATACCAATTTTTTTTTATAAGGGCGTAATACGCAATTTAACGTGTCAATAAAAAAAAAAAAAAAAACCCCAAATTTTTTGTAAGAGTAAGGATAAAATCCTGCGTCTTCCTAGTTTTTTTCTTGTTTCATCAAAAAAAAAAAAAAAATTTTTTTTTTAAAAAATGACAACTAAAAATTAATAAAAAAAAAACGGGGGTGTAAAAAGAAAATCTACTCGACTAAAAAAAAAAAATTGTACATTGTTTTGTAAAAATACATTTATTTGTATCTGTGATAAAAGCGAGAGATAAAAGTAAAATATGACAAGAGAAAAGCAATAAAAAGAAAAGAAAGAGCGACAAACGAAAATAAAAAAAAAAAAAAAGAAAAAAACTTTATAAGAAGGAAAATTATATAAAACACACTCTATTTGGATAGAAACGAGGTCGGTGCTCGTGTATTCATGAACGCGAATATAATTATATTAATAGAAATATATATATATATATATATATAGATAATAATGTTTTTGTAAATAATCGCAATGTCGATGGTTGTGTATATACGTTATATTGAACGTGTAACACTTCTCTCGTATATAAATATATATATATATATATAAAAAATCGGCGAGAAAGCTGTTTGTTGTGAATATACATAGTACAGGTACTAGTTATATATATATATATTAATATAAATGAAACTAGGTACTATACCGGTTGTTCGTACAGATTCGATTGTAAATTAATTAAAAACAAATTTAAAAAAAAAATTGTACATAGCTCTGAATGTGAATATAGATAAATATATCTATTATTATTATTATGATTATTAAAATTATTATTATTATTATTATTATTATTATTAAAATTATTATTATTATTATTATTATTAGCATCGATATCACGATATATTATATTATTATATACTACAATTATAAATTCACATTATATTAAAAAGAAAAACTATTACGTTGTAGATGCTGTCAATTATTTTCTCACCTTGTCCTTTTAAATTAAAAAAAATAAATTATGTTTATAGAAACAATTGTTGCATTGAAAAAATAAATTTATTTTATTCAAGTAATCGATTACTTATGACTATTATTAAATAAATATTTTTGTATTAAATAATAATTATTATTATTATATTATTACAATATTATTACAATATTATATTATACTAATTATTACTATACGGAAAAAATTATTTATCTGGAATAGCGATACGTTTCTCTGGAATAAAGAAAACTTTCGCTGTTTTAGTAAAATATTTCGCTACTCCAGTGAAAGTTATTGCTGTTCCAGGTGAAAATTTTTTAGCGTGTATATTATTATTATACTTATTATTACAATTTAATAATAATAATAATAATAATAATTATTATTATTATTATTAATTATAATAATAATAATAATTATTATTATTATTATTATTATTATTATTATTATTATTATTATTATTATTATTATTATAAAATCGTATTTTTTTCAAATACAGTTTATTTAATTGAAATAAAAACTATTTGGCTCAAGTAAATATTTATTTAATAATGGTGATTAATTGAATCAAATAAATTTTTTTTCAATTATAAGGACGTAAAAAATAAGTATTTATTATCTACAATTATAATATTTAATAAAATGTTAATAAAATGTTAATAAAATATAAATTAATAAAATAGGAATAAAATATGAAAAAAATATTAATTTTTGAACGTTTTGTTTCTATTTAAAATTTATTTATTCGATTCAATGAGAGATTAAATTTATAAGAATAAGTTCGCATGACTATCTATCTCTTTTTTTTTAAAAAAAAATGTATATTTAATTTCAAAATAATTGTGTTGTGCAATTTTTTTATGGGCACATAAATTAAAATTCTTGGCAATAAACCTGTGTAATACAATGATAGTAACGAGAATATACACGTGATTAGTATAATAATGATGTTCATAAACATCAAGATAAATGATAATAAAATTGAGAACAAGAAGAGGCGTATGGAGAAAAAGTATATATGTATATATATATATATATAAGATCTCAGGAGTGAATATATGTTCACTTTATATACTCTCGGCCTTAAAATCAATTGCGGCACCTTTATTATAGATTAGATATATATATACATTGGCCACTGGTCCAAAGAGGGTGGAAACGCGAGTTATATATACAGATGTATACATTTCTTGTGTATACTAACATAAGTCAACTTGTTTCAATTTATGAGAAAAAGATGAGAAATTTTGATTTCTTTTAAATTATATATATATATATTTTATGGAATTGACACAATTTTGATTATTTAAAAAATTATTAACAATTATTTATAATAATAATCAATAATTAGAATTTATATTATTAAAATTATGATTTACTGTCTAAATATAGGAAAAAAATACAAATTTTTTTTAATTTCAATTACTGAGATTTTTTGCTTTTGAATTAGTAAAATTTAACTAATTGCTAAATAAAAAATTTTTTTTATACTATCGAATTGGTAAAATTTAACTAATACAAAAAAAATAAGTAACTAATTCAAATTAGTTAAAATTTTTACAAATTAAAATTAGTAATAGTAAAAAATAGTAAACAAAAAATTGTTTTACTACCGAATTAGTAAAATTCAACTAATTTGAAAACAAA